TTGGAAATGTCGTTAATGGTCGTCTCCATTATCAATAGACGTAAAGTCGACATTCAAGGCTATTTTCGACATGAAACTGAACAGTCAATTTATAGACGGTTCCACTTTAGAATAGAGATTAAATGGAAATAAATTATTCTAGCTTACTTTCAAGCTACGTCTATCATCTTTGTTTCTTTCCCAAACATAAAGATAATCATCATCAACATACACAACACGAGCACCATGACTCAATGTCAGTCGATTAACGCTCTTCTTTCCGGTCGTAAGGTTAACAGTTATTATCCACTTTTCACCTACGTAGGATGTCTGAAATAAATCAAATAAATGAATCCTTCGACCAATTGACCTCCAACGTAATTGTAAAATCAGTTCAACAACTTCTTATGTTAGCTAATAAGCATTCTCATTTTCATCATCTTCTTCTAAATAATACTACCGTCATTTTCATACAAACTTCAAACTGGTATTTTCAACATACGTTCATGAGAATGAGTGTTTTATCCTTCTTTCTATATCTGAAGAGAATCAAATCTTTAGCAGCCGATTCTTCTTCAAGTATTCCATTGATTAATTCCCTGTACTTTCCATAATCTTCTATACCTACAAACTCGATCAGCTGCAACCAATCAATATTATTCAATTCAATTCAATTGAGCAGAGGATTGAACAAAGTCGATAGAGCTACTAGTGCTGATGAAAGCTTAACCTACGTCGAATATGTTGACGGTAGTTTGGGGGTTACGTTGGAGTCTACCAACATCAACTGATTTTGTTTGAGAGATATCTTGCCAAGCAATTTTATCGCCTTAGTTTAATAAAAACGATTGTGACCATGAATGAATGCATGATTGAATTAGAGTTGTTGTACAACCGTCATGTCTTACCTTGTAAATTATATTCATATACATTACGTGCATCATAAATAAGCAATCGATTACTACCAGGAATAAACATTGATCGACCAGATTGATCAAGTTTAACACGAGATTGGACTTGACCACCACTCATCTTGAGTATGACTTCCTACATACAATAGACCACAGTATTACAATATAGGACTAATATTACTGCACTATAAAATATTATGCTGATCTACTTTATGACGCATCATGAATATGAGTAACCCAATATTGCACTAACCTTCTTAAAACAGTCAATAGCGATCATTGACTGATCGCCTGATACCAAAATATTCTCAACGTCTTCAATATCATGTAATGGCCGAAATTGATTTTCAAATTCGATATCTTGTTCCATTTTTAACAGACCAATTGTATTACTTCTTCTTGTATCACTACTGTTATACCTGTTATATGCCAATATCATATAGGCTGCATCACGGTAGATGTTGATGTGCGTTAAGGGCAAGCCATTTTGAAAATCATTGGTAGCAAAGTACCGATCATCATCCTTTGCATGGATGAAAGCCAGGTACTTTGAATGATCGACAAGTCCTTGCT